ATTGCATCTACTTCTGGAAGGCCAAATAAAGTGCTTTTGCTTTCGCACTGAAACACACACCATCTCCCTGACATGGCTGCATCAACACTACTGCTCTTCCTGAAACCACGCCTTCTTTCTTTGCATGCACATTTGGGCAGCATTATGCTAATATTTCCACAATGACGTTAGAATGAGCCGTTTTAGGTAGGCGTGGCTGACTCAACTTTTATAAAGAATATCTCTTTGGATTTGAGACTTTAGTCTTTGCAACTTTACAGATCTTCTTTATGCACCAAGAGCTTGTAACACTCCAAAGAGAAAGGAAAACTTGAAATCGCATCATATGACCCCTTTAAAACTGTGTAAACATCAAGTGGAGCATGAATTTACATTGGACCAAAAACCCAGAAACAGAGAGGACTTTGCATCCTCATTTCAGACATCCACCAAACAACACTAAAAAACAGACACGGAGGTTCATGCTTTCCATACGTTTATGGTAAAATAAACATTGCCCATGAGTAAATATGCTCAGTGTGGAAAGAGGTTTTAACCGGACTGCTGAGTGAGCACAGTGGGATAATGGCCCTGGTTTTAAAGACAGCACTCTGCATGATGAGGTCTCTGTGCAAAGAAGAGCTCAAATATCTTCACTGTTTCCAGGAAAAAGCATTAATTCCATTCTGCTGAGTTTACAGCGGACCAACCACATCTAAAACCCTAAGTGTCCATGTATTCATTCAGACAGGCAATAATCAAACACTTTCGACAAGAGATCGGTCTCAGCTCTCTTTAATTTTTGTCCTCCATACAACATAAAAACTCCACACGAATCTGATTTTTTAAAAATGTGTATTGTATTGCATTTGCATGTAGTTTGAAATCCAATTCAAATCTGATTTTGAATATGATTCAATGTGAAAGGTCAGTTGGCAACTCAAATGTATTATTTAGAACTCATGTGTATGTATTGTCATACATTATCATGCAGGTGTGATGTGGTTCAATAGAATTATGGCATTAGCATTGGCTTACAGACTCACCTTATGACAAAGTCTGTGTCATTGTTGGCGATTGTGACCACAACATCAGGCACATTGTAAGGAGTGTCCAAGTGACTCTCCATGGTGGCCCTGAAGAACAAAAAGAAATTCAAATGAACATCTGATCATAACATAAGCACATGATAAGAAAACTCAGTAGAGGCCTGAAATAATTGTGAAAGCTTTCCTTTCTCCTCTGACTGAGAAACATAAAATATGATAAAAAGTTTTGTGAGCAGGAAATTGCATGTGACAGGGACTTATCTAATGTACAGGAAGCATCTCCAGCTCTTGTGGAGAAATTTTATTTCCTTTATGGTTACTAGGCCATATATCTTCTGCTGATATGCACATACGGACATACAGACAAAAAAAGCAAAAATTCTCATTTGAACACTTAGGGCCAGATTGAGCGAAACCCTCTTTTGCCATTAAAAAAGTACTTCTTTATTTACCTGCTTGCATTTGCACTTGTAGGAGTTTCTCTTTCAGACATAAAATTCATGGGAGGAGAGTATTCAAATTAATTTGAAATTAATTTGTGCATTGTCACTAAAATACCAACAGAACTTTCCACTTCCATCTGTGTTTTATGGGATTGCGATCTCACACTAATTTGCCCCGTTTTGCAAATCTGGCCCAAAAATTGTTGATTCTCATCGAGCACTTGGATTTGTTAAAAATGTGATGCTGCATTTGTTGCTTAATTCTAATCATCTGCAGCAATACTCTTCTACTGTACAGATCAGTACATCTCAGTCTATTTATTCAAAGAGTAATATTAGGTCATATTAATATATGAATATAACCTAATTAATATTCATAAGCAAAATGCAATGTTGTGAAGTCACAAACATCCAAAAATCAGTGGTTATTCTGGTGCCACTGTCCCTACCCATTTCATTACAAAATCATGCCCATACCCAAAAATCTAAAGTTCACAGTCTGTGTCTTGGGTGACTCTCAGTAGCAGGAACTGTACTGCTGTAAACCAACTGAGAACATGCCGTTTTCAAGTGACTGGCTGAACAGGAGTCTGATCCAAATGTAAAGAACAATGAGAACAAGATCAGAAACATGTCTCTCAATTTGTAAGACAAGCACAATACAGGTCTTTTGGAGGTATTTGAGCCAAGGCTTAAAAGCGGTGTTACTCATATTTATTGTAAAAGAATAATACTCTCCATACAAAAAAAAATCCCATGTTCATAGTGGTCGTACTACAATAGGCGAAGAGTGTCTAATTGTAATCATTCCATGTAAACATTTCTGTTTCACCCTTGTGCGTATGGTGTGAAAATTAAGAGTTTAGCTGTCTTATGTGGTCATGATAACTTGCACAGACAGGTTTAGTAAACAATTTAAATCACATTAGTCTCATGTTACCACACAAAGTTTAAATCATCTGGCTAAAACTGTATTCTAATTTTTATCCCAATGCAATATTTTCCCTGAAGAATGCCATTGTAAGAGTGTTAAATGTAAACATGATTTTTTTCTTTTTAAAAGCTGAGGAACAAGTCAGAATTATGTTTTGCCATAGGCGACAACCTCAGATGCTGTTGATAGAGCTAAACTGGCACTGAATCCAGAACATTCCTGTTCTTAAAATAAAAAAAAGAACAAACAACGTTGGCTGTTTGTCATTTTAGGTTTCTACCTCATTTGTAGAATAACTATAGACCTCTAGACTCCTCCACATTGATTATCATACAGGTATGGAGATTCATGTTGGTTTTCAGTGCACTGCATTATTTTGAGTGGCTCATCTGTAGATTGTTTTGGATAGTTTGCCACCATCATAGAAAACCTGTATTGTACCACTGAACTTGGAATGAACTTGGCAGGCAGCCAGTGTGGGCGACCTTATACGAACAGTGCTAAGACTGCAAATATCAGAGAGAGGGGACACTATAGTAGGACAGGGCCCATAACAGGAATTTCAGCTTTCTTATGGACACAATTTTACAGACGTCATAGGTGTGTCCTCATTATAGTAGATTTCAACTAGATTTTTAGGTTTTCTTTTAGTGGTGTCTGCACATGTAAAGCTCAATGCCACAGAGGTATAATGTTGTTAAATGGGTGAGTGCATTGATATATGGTTGCTAACATATTCTGGGTGGTTGTTAGGGCACTGTTACGTAGTTGCTTATTGGTCAAAAGGGGGCCCAGTCTCAAGTCTATGAGATACCTGCACTGATTTCATCATCCAGCAGGTAAAAAAATATCAGCAACAGTGAGCTAAATGAAGCTAAATGAAGTTCAGGACGAAGCTAAATGAAGTCAGTTGCATTCCTTATTGCTGTTCATCTCACTATAATGTCTCGCACTATATTGTGGCTCTTTTTAGCTGAAACACTTTTGGCATTTCATAACCTCAGCTGGGTCACAATGACCCATGCTTGCCATAACTGCCCCAGATTGAATGGCCAACAATCCTGTACAACCAGGAAAAGTTCCAAACTCAAATTCCATTCCAGGCTTCTTGCATAATGTGTCTGAAATGTAAACGACTTATTTTTCCTGGCGTTTTACCAAAGGCTATAGTGTTACCACAAGGTCACACTCTGCTCAACCCTCTACATTGCGAGTAAATCACTCACATATGCGACTAAATCTTACTCTGGGTGACTAAATAATGTCTAACATTAGCCATTGGCTAACAAATTCTTAGATTTTACACACCAGTATGTGTGTGAGAGGCGTTCAACACAGATTTTCACTCGATAAACACGCTGACTGAGCGCTTGAGAGTTTCGCTCTCCGTCAAGTGATCTGTACTATTTGGATGCACTCAATGGATCATGTCATGTACTCAATGGATGCGCAGTATGTAGCACGCAGCGCACCTGTATTTGACGTACCGTAAACTAGTGTGAAGGCGCACGACTCGCCGTCGCTTTACTGATAGCGCTGTGTTTCTCACACATGCAAAGAGAGAGAGCGAGAGTCTTGCATACCATGCTGAATCGACGCGCTACATGTAAACCATATTCTTTGTTGTATTTTCCTGTCAAAATAACAGAGTTCATTTAGAATTATTCAGCTTTTAAGAACAAGCAGAAGATATGCCGGTTTCTCGGCAGTGGGCGGAGCTACTGCGCGAACAGCTCTCGTTACCGTCCCTGTTTTGATTTCAGTTCAGTTCAGTTGCAAATCAGTTTGAGCGAATGCTGACAACTAGGGATGCTCCGATCCGCCTTTTTTGCCTCCGATACCGATTCCGTTTTTAACAGTTTTAAATTTCAGTTACTGTGCAGGTTAAAAAAAATTTATAGTCTTTTCTACGCCCGTGTTTTGTTCTCACAGACATCCGGTAGCAAGTAACAAAACAACATTAAACTCCGGCAAGAAGATAAAGTCCTTTTTGCAAAATCATAGACATGTATTTACAAATCAAGTATAATGGGAACACAGAATGATCTTGGAGAGAGCTTTACCGAGCTGACTGCTGTAACCGAACGTGACCAGGGTTTAAACTTTAAAGGCTGAACGAATGACTGACAGCCACAGCGGAGAAAAGAGTTTGTGTGAACTTTAATGTAAGGACTTAAATATTCATATGTAGCTCACATTAAGCTATCGTATGGCTTCAGAAGTAACACAGAATAATTCGCACAATCGAGAAAAAATAAATAAAAATCTCGGATTTGGGTCGGCCCTCTCTGACCGATACCCGATCCGAGAAAAATGGCACTATCGGAGCCAATACATTTAATAATAATTACTATTACCTATGATCAACAATATCTTAAACACCACCACCAGTCCTAAGCTCAGTTTAAGTGACAAATATGCATTCATTCATGGTTACCAAGTTTTAGTCCTAATCCCTAGTTCTATCATTAAATAGTGCTTAATTATCATAATATCATAATATAATGCTTGATTGGCTGAAGTTAAGAGATTTAGATAGCTAAGTAAACGTGTGTGTGTGTGTGTGTGTGTGTGTGTAAAATAGTATATCAGTCTGGCGAGTAAACAAAAACATTTACTAGCCAATGGCGATTATATTGCCAAGGTGTGCGTAGAGGGTTGCACTACAGTAACCCCTTCATACACTGACAGACAGGCAAAATTGCTTACACATATATTTTGGTCATAGTTCATGCAGCAACAGATATCACTGTATTATAGTGGTAATGGTTCAATAATTAACAGTCCAAATAAAGCAACTGCTTTGACAGGATTAGATACCAGGATAAGATAGTTAAGATAGCATAGTAGAACAGGATGTTGTGCTGTGTGTGTATCTTATTGACCATATGTGACAGGAATGTTACCTCATGGCGTTCTTCAGCAGCTCAGGCAGGATGTAGTCCAGAGGCAGTGGAATGAAGGGAAAGCGGGCCGCCACATGGCCATTAATGCGAACCCGTGGAGAATTCCCATACTGATGCTCACAGAGCCGTCTGAGGGGAACAGAGGGGATCAAGACATTTACATTACCATTCAAGTCTGGACAGACTTATTAATTCTTTACTATCATTCAAACAAATAACAAATGTCAGTCTTGTAAAGAAATCTGGCAGACTTTATTTCCAGATTTCACATATTTAAGCATAAGCCTTAAGATTAAAATGTTTTTAGGATCATGAGAAAATAAAATTATTTGTATTTAAATAATTGGTATTATACATAAAAATAACAAATGCAAAATTGCATACAGAGAAAATAAGTCACATGCTACTGGTTCTGCCTCACCAGGTTATGCAAGTACTGGTAAATGCCTGGATTGCTGTCTTGAGCATTTCATTTAGTTTAAAGCCAGTTTTTAAATAATCTGACACTAATGAAAACATCTCATTCAGAGCCAGCAAAATGTGGCCTCGGTCTGGTCTTTGAGGGAGCGCTTTGATCATGCCACTGTGAAGAGGAACAGGGCAGCTCTGCTGGTGCAGCATATTAATGGTCAAACTCTCATGAGATGAGCAGGAGCAGTGCAGCCTGACCTCTATTCTTACATAAGACCACAGAGAACATTTTTTAGGACTGTAACAACTAATCGATAATGAATACAGATAATTATTTCAAATAAATCCACATTAAAGCCACTTAAAACCAAAACAAACTATTACTGGGCAGAATATGCTGCAAACTGGACCAGACTTTAGGTTGAAAGTCAGCTTAGTATAGATGAGGAAAAACTGATGTTAGATCAGAATGAGAACACAGAGATACTCTGTCCATCTGTAGGATGGACGAATGAGTGACTGATTGGAAAAAGTGAAGTAAAATAAGGCCCCGTCCACACGGAGACACGTTTAGTTGTATACACATACATTTTGTATCGTATAGGCATCTCGTCCAAACGGATCCGGTTCGTGCTATGTCACGTAACAGCAACAAAAACATGAACAAACACTGAACGACTGTCTTTTTATTAACTAATACTAACACAGATTAATAAATGTATTATTCCATGTTCGTTTGTATACCGTGCGCAAGGTTTATGGCATAGTCCAAGTCTTCTTCTCCGTTTTTAGTGTATCTCTGTGGCAGAATTACAGCGCCACATACTGGTCTGGCAGGTATACTACATCGTTTTGTGTCGGTTTTGTGGTTTCGTGTGGACGCAGATATTTCTTGAGACGAGGGGAAAAAAAGATCGGATAGGGAAAGCTCTGGCTTCGTGTGGACGTAGCCTAAGAGTGATGGCGCAGGCGTAAGAGGCTTTAGCAACTGCACATTCATCAAGGGCCCAGGCCTTGTGACCTGATTCTTTTCAACAAAGAAATAAACAGGAGGAATGTCTCTAACATTTTAGCTAAAGCCTCTCAACCAGCTACCAAGGAGACAAACTGAAAGTAAATAACTAAGACAAAAGAAGAAAACATGAATAAAAAACACACTTTACTGTGTTCTGACTAAATAATGCAGTTGCTATGAAATCTGTTCAGGCAATTATTTCTCTTAAACAAAATCAAATAAAAAGAGTTGTGGTGACTTCCTCATTCAGATAATTTTGCATGAGATGATTTATGAGGCAGAATTTAAAACATGCATGACATAAACTGATAAACATCATATTTAGGAAATGTCCACGGGCAGCAATGTTTTTTTTTTGTTTTGTTTAAATTTTTTTAAATTAATGTCAATATTAATGTCAATTAATGCGAATGTCAAAATTAATATATATGTACATTTTTTTTTTTTTCCCTGCTGGCCCAGTTGCTGCCTCATGGTATCATGTGGACGCGGTAACTATATCCACCAGAAAATATATTAATAATTGATTAAACCTTAAGTTTTCTTTATAATAAAACTAATAAAACTATTTCTAAAATATTTTCCTAATTTTTCTACTTTAGAATAATAGCTTGAAATAATGTCACTATAAATTCATAACAGTAGCAAACAGCTTAAGAAATGTTTACATGTCCATCATTCACTGCAAATCATTCCTGGACTGTTGACACATTAAACTCATGTAGAAGAAGTAAATACATGTTTTGCTCCCACACAGAAAATGTTGGACAGTAGTTCAACAGTGACCTTTAACACTCATCTTGGTAAATCAAAAAATGAGAACTGGGCTTTGACCCTTTTCTTGGGCAAACAGAGCACGCACACACACACACACACAGACACACACAGACACACACACACACACACACACACACACACACAAGCTGCTGTAAATGGAGCTGACTGTGCGGATAACAGAACAAAAGGCTTTTCAATAACCTCTTAAAATAGTCCTCGAATCTTAAGCCCTCACGTATGCAAACAGACGACAGGATGCAAGGCAGATGGCTAACAGAAGGAAGTTAAAAGGATAGCATACTCACCGAGCAAAATCAACCCACTTCTCGATGATCTTTTTAGGGGACAGGCGGCGACATATAATGCCTACAAAGTCAGGCTGAAATAGTACAGAGAAAAAAAAAATCATATGGTAAGCATCTGTACTAGCGCTGGGTAATATGACTGTAATAGCCATGCTACATCAGAAACATACCAACTGGTAGAGATATTGGTTATATTTCTGATTTTATTAAAATTGCTTACAACTTAAACTTCATAATGTATTTATATTGCATCGCTGTTTTGATTCTTTAATAGTTCAGCTTGGTCATTTTTACATGAGCTGTTCAGTTTGAGGTGAAAATTAATCAACAGAAGATTGCATTTTTCAGTTTGTACTAGTGTGATTCCTGATAAACATTTTTATAATCTAATAATAAATAATAAACATCAATACTACCACAAAGCAAATACACAATTCATACTCTTTTTATTTCAGTAATTTAGTCTTAGTAAATCAACCTGCTGCTTGTAGCTGTACAATAGTTGGCATGATTAAATTATAGGAACCTTCCTGTTCTGAACCATTACAGCTCTCAAGCGAATCCACAAGTGAGCAAAAATATTGTTCGTTGCAGCAGGTCTCTGTAATTTGACAGCAGATGTGGTTGTATATTTAGTCTATGCATGTGCATCATGTGAAAATATTGGTGGTCCACTTGGCTGCCTGTATGAGACATTTTCGTCACTGGGCAAATGACTGAAGACTACATTACTTTTATTGCTGTGAAGCCCATGTGCTTATGGGTATTTTAAAGAGGAACTGGAGAGTTTCCTAATATGGATTCATATATTGTTCATAGCACATTTGAATTTGTCTAATGCAAACAATTTTAAGAACCATCGCTAATTATTGGAAATATCCATAATAGAGTAAGAAACGACGGTGGTGCTAAAATATTAAGCAAGAGACGTACATTATCCTCATGCAGGGCAATGTGGTGTGTGGCCAGCATGCGGATGCCCAGACGAGACGTCAACGTTGTGTCCAAGAAATTACGAACCAGAGTCTCATCCTGAACAAACAGAATGTAAAATAAATAAACAACTAGGTCAGATCCACTGATTATGACCAAAGTGAAAGTATAACATGGACCATGCAGAAAGAGGCTACGGTAATATTATTCTGCTGACGGCGAACAAAACACTAGGGGTTTTTGAAATCTTACCATTATGTGTTTACGACATTCCCTGAATCCTTCAGCTAACATGGTGACAACATCTTTGTGATCATCAAGAAGCTGTTTTACAAGTTTGCTATAGTGAGCCTCAGTCTCCTGGTCTGTAATCTGAAGATAAAAACAATGATGGAAAGGTTAGCAAAATAATATTAAATGCGAATCTTTTATATGTAATAGACCATTTACAGTCATAGTTAAAATCAAAACTAAAGCCTGGTGGGGTAATCATGTCTTAACTGTTATTTCCCCTTATTATTCTTACTAAACAAATAAATGGATCCACTTACACTAGCAGAAAATGGTTGGATACACTTAAATGAATTTGTTTCTTGTGATCTTTGCAATCTTTTGATCTAAATGTTGCACTTAAACACTTGACAAATTTGTGACTACAAAAAAAAAGTTTCTGAAATGGATGGCCAGGAAAATACATTTCAGACAGTAGAGATGAATCTCCTTCAATATACCATTTACAAAGCATTCAAAAATGCAGCATCGCCATCGTAGGAATAAGTTAAATTTTAAAATAAATGAAATAGAACACAGTTACCTTAAATGTCTTGGTGAGCATAGGAGACAACTTTCAAAAACATTTTTACAAAATATTACACTTTTGTAGTGTACATCTGTGTTCTTTCATAGCTTGGATGACTTTACCGTTACTCTTAATTGTGGGACAAAACAGAATGAGAATGTGTGGGCCAAAATTTGGACTCATAATGTACAAGCCACGGCAATAACTATGGCAATCCCTTCAGTTGCCTCATATTTCCAGTTAGCGGATATTGTGCAACAGAGGGATTTTTCATTTGTACTCACATTTGACATATTCATGAGCCAGCATTTTACATAGTCAGTCAGTTTGTCAGTCAACAAAGACTTAGGTTTCACTGGTGAGAGGTGATACCTCCACTCCATCTTCTACAGCGGCTGAATCAGTACACTAAACTCACAGGCCTCTCAGGTTACAGAATTAATTATGGAAATCTGAAAGCTGGTCAACAGTTGACTAGGCCGTGTATGAATTCATATGTACAGGTTTGGTCAACTTGCACTTACAGCCTGGAAATCGCTCAGCATGTGGTAGGCCCTGATATAAAGTTCGTGCTGTGGAGAGAGAGAGAGAGAGAGAGAGAGAGAGAGAGAGAGAGAGAGAGAGGGGGAGAGAAAGAGAGGGGGAGAGAATGAGAATGAATGAGTGCAATACATGGGTAACAAATGTGCTGTGGCGCAGCTCCTGGAGCTTGTGTTCCCAGCCTTCCCTGAAAACCATTCCTGGCCCCTCACCAACCCTCCATAAACGCACGGCTTACATTCTTCAATGGATTCGAGGAACAAATTAAAAAGATTGGGAAACACATAAACGTGCTGAATGTTTTGAATGATCTTAATTTTTACTTGCAACAGTTCAAAGGTTGTGATGATATATATACTGCACAAAAATAGTTTTTCAATATTTCTTTCTTGTTTTCCATTAAAGCTATCTGATCAAATCTGATAACTCAAAAGACATACACTACCGTTCAGGAGTTTTATGTTTATTTTTGAAAGAAAAAACTTATGCTCACCACAGCCTAATTTATTTGATCAAAAATACAGTAAGAATAACGTAATGTATTAAAATGTAAATAAAAAAATCTTCATTTTCACATAATCCTTCATAAAACATTCTAATATGCTGATTTGGTGCTCACAAAACATTTGATTTTTAAAAGTGTGGAAACCTTGATACATTTTGATTTGAAATCATTTGTAACATTATAAATATTTTTACTGTTTCTTTTGGTTAATTTTATGTATACTTGCTGAATAAGGGTATTACTGACCCCAAACATCTGAATGGTAGAGTAGGTTAAGAAGACATTTGACTTAAAGATGTTAAGATACATTTTCCAAAAAAAAAAAAAAAAAAGATTAATAAACTGATTTTTGCAGTGCAGTATTTAGTTTTAAGACTGCAGACTCAATTGCTCTGAATACCTCTGAACTCAACTGGTGAGTTCTTCTTCCTCAAAGAAAACAAAACAAGCTATAGACGAGACTCTCTTCTGAGGCAGATGTGGGTAAAAGTTCACAGGAGGAGGAGGACTCACTAAAGGAAGTAAACAAGCAGGAGAAAGGGGAGGGAACCGGTTTTCTCTCTGCTTATTACTTGGTGATTGTCTGTTTGCTTTGTCTGCTAGTGGACCATGAAAGTGAGAATTGCTTGTGATGGTTATTGTTATTTATGTTTTTGTGTTGTAGTGATGAACAGCTCAATGAGTCCAGGACATCGTGACATACAATGTGGTCCAAAAGACCTTTAATTTACACCTGGAAATATTCTCAAATCATGCTGATGAACATGATCATCAGCTTTTACACAAATATGTGAAGTTCATGCAGCTCAAGTAAAAAAAAAAGCATTTTCACTTGCGGTATCTGATTTTTGGACCCCAATTTTTGAAGTAATACAAATAAAGCAAGATCTTATTTGGAGTTTTCACTATAAACAGCAGGAGTACAACAGCTTGTTCAACAAGCCAAGTTTTCAGTCAACATGAAGTACAGCACCAAAGAAATAACAAAACAGTTAAGCATGGTAACATGAATTAAAATGGACATGGTTTCAGAAAAATGATCATATACCAGTCAACCTCAAATCATTTTCTTAAGAGTGCAAAAGACTGTTAAAAAATGTGGGTTTTTTATTTTTATTGAAAGAAGTAGGCTGCATTTATTAGACCAAACATACAGTAAAAAAAACAGTAATTATTGTGAAATATTATTACAATTTAAAATAACTGTTTTTATTTACTATACTTTAAAATGTAATTTTTGTGATGACAAAGCTGAATATTCAGCATTGTCCTCAGTGTCACATGATCCTTTATCAATCTAATCAATCTAAAATGCAGATTTGGTGCTCAAGAAACAACAGTATTAATTATTCTTATTATTAATCACAGTTGAAAATAGTTGTGCTGCTTAATATTTCTGTGGAAAGTGAACTTTCTATTGATTGAAGAATCCTGTTTTTGTTTTTTAGGATTCTTTGATTAATAGAAAGTTCAAAAGAACAGCATTTATGTGAAATATAAATATTTTGTAACACTATTTGGGTGCTTTCACACCTGTAGATCGATTGCTTTGTTCCGAAACAGGGATTCAAATTATTACAATGTTGCTTTTTATTCTTGGTGTGGTTCGCTTTCACACGGCAAAGTTTCTAAATGGACCAAATTTGTTAATACATGTCACGCGCGAGTAAACTGTTCCCTCATTGGTCAAAGTTCCATGGTTTATTTTCCGGGATTCCACTTAGCTGTCACAGCTGTCATCCGTCAGGATGGAACGACAACAGCTTTTTTTTGCAGCTGTCCTTATATTAATTTATCATTTTGAGCAGAAGTCCAGGATTCATCGGGAAAACATTTTTAAAATGCACCTACTACAAAGAAGAGCAATAAGATGGCATTTTAAAATGAAAAAGTGCGCTTTTTTATTTTGAATGGCGAAGACGTGCTCACCCACAGACATTCACAGGTTTATTTTGAAGTATTAGCAAAACAACAAAGCTAATGCTTTTCACGGAACTTATGTAATTACCCATTATACATTGTGATATAGCCTGGTTCGTTGGTTCGTTAGATCGGATTGTTTTCTCACTACAGCCGAACCGCTCCAGAGTTCGTTTTCAATTGAGCCGAGACCACCTCGTTCAGGCGATCTCGGACCGACTGTTTTGGCACGGATCCAGGCGCGATTGCCGTGTTCACATATGCCCAAACGAACCGAGCTAAGGGGGGAAACGCGCCAGGTTCCGAAACAACGGGCCAGGTGTGAAAGCACCCTGTAAATGTTTTACTATCATTTTTGATCAATTTGATGCATTCTTGCTGAATAAACATTTTAATTTCCTAAAAAAATAAATGAATGAATTATGAAGTACTGACACCAAACTTGAACAGTAGTCTACTTTTATGAACTAAGAATAGAGAAGGTAAGTTGATTTTTTCTGCACTAAATAAAACCCATGCATGTATTGATAAAGCACTTTTTTCTGTCCACCAAAATCAATACCAGGACTCAAGCTAAGTCCCGTTCAGCAAGACGCCACTGCAGAACGCTAGGTGTCTGATAACACTGGCATTGAATCAAACATGGTCGATTCAGTTCTCGGTCTGAACACTATGCCAAACTGATCCGGCCCCAGATCCTCATCACCTAATATCCCCTCTCAGAGTATCAAGGGTGGAGCTTCTCCAGCAAACTAACTTGTACGGGAGACGATAACACTACTCGTCACAACAATGTATGATAACAGAGAAATCCTGCAGAGGTGTAGGGGAACTCACCACTTGGAGAATGGTTGGGTTGCAGCCGATAATGAAGGGCAGGCTGCGAAAACCCTTAATGCGATGGGCGATACGTACAGGCAGCTCTTTGTGTAGATATCTGGCACTGATCTGCATTGAATCAAATCACACACAGCTTCATTAGAACTCAGTATATTAACTCATAATAAACAGATGAAACATTTCTGGCATAGCGTAAATCAACATAAAGGTGCAATACAGACAAAGCACAGTTTGTGTGCTGACAAATGGCTGAAACAACTACTTTTTAGAAGCCCGGAACCAACGTGGGTTGGGATAAATGCAGAACAGAGGACAGGAGTGTGTAATTACCAGGATATGTTGTCCATCAGGAGACTTCCCTGCATACAGCATAGTGGCTGGTGTCAGTCTGACAGAAGGCTGTGAAGAGAACATCGCTGTTAAAAATAGAATATACTTGAATTCTAACTGTGTTTGATTTGATGTTGTATGTGCTGAGAGACCTTTATGAATAACTAGATGTCGGTCTTAGTAAATTCACTCACTTGAATTGTCTATGAATCAAGGTTTCAGCCTGTTTTGGAAAAGTTCAAAAAGTCCATTCCATTTTGTTTTATAACATACGACTACATCTATATCCTATAAATGTGATTATCCATGGAGTGATTCATGGGTAAAGTTACACTTATTAATAGGCCTATGCATAAGTGAATGGAGTGCATGTCAGTTGAGCAGCAAAGGACAAATCTATATTTAATATTTTCAATTCACAACGTTAACAATGCAAAACGCCATTGGTTCTTGTGTGTTTTAATCACATGGAAGAATTAATGAGACTTCAATGAATAACTGCTTAAATTTCCTTCCTTTTCTCACATAAAACTATGATATGGCTTCAGAAGACTTGGAATACAATGCATGAGCCATATGGACCTGTTGTACACTATCTGCTACATGCCTTTTGACCTCTAACTATTTGTTCATACTTTTTAGTAAAGAAAAAGCCTTTTAGTACAATTCTAAAAATGTCCACAATTAAAACTACAGAGCTTTGATCATAAAACTAAGCATTTAAATAGCATCTTGCAATGCCATATCATTTGGAGATATAGAGTGACAACCAATGCATTTTATGCAAGTAGTTTGCTACACTGTTATAAAAATATCTGAATTACAAATGATCAGAATTTCATCTTTATAACACCTGCACCAATTTGCATGTTTTTGCTCTGTTTGGAGAATAAAATTTAGCCTCATATTCTCACACTATATGCGTCATTAAAGCCTGATGTATGAAATATGATACAAAACATGAAACCTCATAAACATAAAACTAATACAAAGTTTTGTTTTAGATTTTTTGTTAAGTATTGTCTAAAAACCCAATAAACAATTTAATAGAAAAAAAAAAAAGATTTGTATGACTACTATTTCATGTCAGGATTTACAGGGTTGATGTTTCATGAGGGTGAGTAAATGACAGAATCTCCATTGCTAAGTAAACCACTCCTTTTAATTGATTAAATTATGGAAATGTTCATAATGAACCGATAATTAAAAAAGGAGCAGTGGCAAAGCGGTAATCACATTGGGTTTTGTTGAGTCACTAACACAGTCCCAGTGAGATGCTCAAAGTAGGACAGGTTACATAAGGATACCGTGTACACCAGCATGACTTAACATGCCACGATGGACATTTAGATGCACGTTTAACAGAAAACCAAGAGTTTGAAATAATAAAATACATTTGTCGAATGGTTATGGCATTTATGAAGTCCTGCTGCCCTTGGTGTGACCCATGACCCATGACTCGTGGCTTTTTAACTGCTGACACCTAATACTAGACGTTTATCTACCTTGATGTAAGATACAGCAATCCACACAGCTTAAGCATTCACTATAAAATAATAATAATAATAAAAATTAGTAATGATACTATTAAGAATAATTTCGCTTAAAAGACAACAAAGTAACTTTCCAGTTAGTGTGCACCGATGTCATACATCCACTAGCTGGTGACTCAGAAAATGAAGTTTGATACTTTATAAAATGCTATGACATTCATTTTGAAAAGTTAAATTATTTTGGGGGCCACTGTATTCGGTTTTTATGGTTACTGGGTTTTAGGTTTTGTGATGGAGGGTTTTGTCATAGAGATTATTAGCAGCTGAAGAGCTAAATGGCATTTCACCGGATGACTACAACAATCTTATAAGTGGCAGTAAATATTAACTTACCCTTTGGACCAATGAGATGAAACATTTGAGACTAGTTAACGCAAACTAGAACTAGAAGTGTAGTTAAGGCTCGTGGTCAGTGTCATGACAACACGAGTAACCCACAAAAGTGGGATCACTAGGCCATCCAAATCATGGATGGAGACCACAGCATATCGACCTCCGTGGAAACGTATCAGGAAATGGTGACTGACCTTCTCGGCAGATGCGTCGATGGCAGACTGGTTGTAAAAAGACGTAACGGTTTTGGACCGCTCGCGAGCCAGCTCAGTGTAACTGGACATGGACGATGTGGACCGAAACCTTTTGTCGATGCCATGTAATGTTACTCTGGTCGAGTGCGGAGCGGCTGCTTTGGCTGATGTGGAGAGAAAGAGCCTGGTCACGCTGATCCTGGAGGCTCCGCTGCCCAGCAGCTCCACGGCCTGGACTGTCACACGGCCGCGCATTTTACACTTTGATAACGCAAAAAGAAAAAAAAGTCAATCCCTTGTTTTTAGATTAAAAATCCGTCTACCTCGCCATCCAATACAGCGAGTTAACTCGTGCACGAAGGCACCACCGCATCGCTAGATGTGAACTCGTTTCTTCTGGTGTTTATCTTAAGACCCTTGCGATCAGCCAATCAGCGGTCAGAGGAGGCGGGGCTTTTGGGTCATCTCGACCTCAGCAGCACCGGAAAGCCAATGAGTCACGTCGCAGCAAGGACAAAGACCCACAGTCACAGCACAGCCGGCACTGGGGACGGGGTGTACTTCCTTTGACTGACACTACGTACATGCAAAGATTGTGTTATAAAATGTACTGTGTTAAAGAGAAAGGTTAGGCTATTTTATATATTATGCTCTGTATGTTCATGTAGATATAAATTCAAGTTTCTGTTCAAATGATCGACACCCATTACCAAGAAGGGGGCCAAATGTAAAACGTTTTACATAAAGCGATAGTTAAATAAAATAAAATAATTTTCTTCTTTTACTCAATCAGGTTGTTCTAAACCGTGCATCTCTTCAATTGAATGCTAATGAAACATCTCAGTCACCATTTGCTTTTGTTGTATAGAAAAATATGCAATGAAAGTGAATGGTGACTGAGGCGGTCAGTTCCTGTCATTCTGTTTAACATCTCTATTTGTTTTACACTAAAGAATGTAAGGCATACAGGCTTGTACACACACATGATGGTGGGTAATTTTGGAGGGAGAATGATCCCAACTGTCCATAAGGGGAAATGAGAACGATGTAAGAAAAACCAATACTAGCCTAATTAAAATTAAAAGAAGGCATCTAAATCATATGACTATAGAAACAGCACTTCTAAAGAATGTAGTCCAGTGACACAATTTGCCCCACATAATGTCAAGGGCTAAGTTGAATCATTAGGGTATAAGTGAACTAAAAATACAATCTCATTCCAAAGTCTAATTTTGCTGTACTTGTTCTCAGTTCCATTTACTTGCATTATATGAACTCACAGAGAGCATTTAATCATTTAATACTCAGATATTTAAACACAGTGAAGAAAAATCAACATTTTGTAATAGTATTTGTACTTTCGATGAAATACGATCAAATACGATCACGACTGGTCACAGGAGACTCATGAGATGTTTGTTAATACCAAGAGAATCCAGAAAGACTGCAGTTATGAATTTCTTTGGATTTTATTTTATTTACTGATTCCTTAGATTCAAATTAGTTGGAATTCTGCATTTTGTTTTAATTCATACTCTAAAATTGAATTAGAATTCAAAAGACATTCTTAATTCAATTGTGAATGGGCACACAACTCTGCTGGGCTGAGTTTTATCAGGTTATAGAAAGAAAATAACCATAATACAATGTAGCACACTTGAACAAAATGAACTTGTCATTAATGCAAAAGCTGGATGAACTAGGCTTTTCATTTCACAGCTCAGAATGTGTAACAAAAGCTTATGAAAATGCACAATTAAAATAACAAAGACATTGATTAAACTCAAAATGTATTTATTTGCACTATTCCTTGACAAAAAAGAATGATCTTGTTCTGATGTGCAAAGATGATGCAAAAAAATAAAAAATACAGATAAATGAGACGCAGAAAAAAGCACAAAAATATGAAGAGATGAAGCGAATATGCAAATATTGAGGCAAAGGGGATGCAAGAAAATTCAAAGATGGGAGAAAGAAGGGAGAACTATCTCGCTCCCATGTGAGCCAAATATACGCAATATAATCCAAAATAACAAAAAGCACAAGAACGAGACGATGGTTCGTTGATTCCTTCTGGCTCTGCTCTTGCTCGGGTCTCTCAGCTCTGCCTTGGTCTGTCGTCTCCATGGTTCCAACATGGAGTTAGGGGCTTTTGGCTCTACCTGGATGCGAACGCGCAAGTATAAAGCACCAATGACACAAATATAAGAGGGAGAACTATTTGAGTCAAATATGCCAAAGTAAGAAAATGCACATGAACTGAGACAATAGCATGTTGATCTCTCTGTCTCTGCTGGGGTCCCTCGTCTCTACTGTTCCACCTTGGTTTGTCGTCCCTTTGGCTCCAATATGGACTTCTGGGCCTTTGGCTGCATCTGGACATGAGAGGGAGAACAATCTCGTGCCGATGTGAGCAAAAGATGACGCAAGAAAATTCAAAATACGACTCAAACTTGAGAGGGAGAATAATTATGCACCAATGTGAGCAAAAAATGATGCAAAAAAATCAATTCAAAATAGGAAAATGCAGATGAACGAGATGAAGACAAGAAATGGAACATGTAGCAAACATGCAAGATTGAAGCACAGATTGACTCAAGATAAATGATGGATTGTCGATCCCTCTGGCTTTGCTGGGGTCCCTCGTCTCTACAGCTCCGCCTTGGTCTGTCGTCCCCTTGGCTCCAACACGGACTTCTGGGCCTTTGGCTGCGTCTGGACTCTCCAACACTTTGGCTCCACTGGGGTCCTCCAAAATATGAGATGACGTGAACACGCAAGTATAAAGCACTGATAACTCAAACATGAGAGGGAGAATTATCTCGCTCTGATGTGAGCCAAAGCTGATGCAAGAAAATTCAAAATAACAAAATGCACGAGACGCTAAAGAGCAGGAAAATATTAGATGACGCGAATACGCAATTATAAGATTCAAATATGATTGGGAAAAATATCTCACCCTGATCAGTAAGCCAAAGATGCTTCCTATCAAAATAGGAAAATGCACATGAAGAAGATGCTGAAAAGTAGTATGAACGCAAGTATGAACATGAGTCATCTGATATGAGCCAAAGATGATGTGAGAAAATTCAAAATAAAAAACTGCTTGAACGAGATGCTGATGAGATGCTGAATATTAGGAGATGACACGATTCGCGAATACGCAAGACTCAAACATGAGAAGGAGAAATATCTCAACCTGATGTGAGCCAAAAATTATGCTTGCTTGATTATGCTTGATTATCTTTTCAACCAAGCCAAACGTTCACATTTGTGTCACAGATATGATATAACATTCAACATAACATGTAATCACATCAGCAGCTTTACAGTGCCTTCATACCCCTGTGAGCAAGCCAAAGGCGACAGTGGCAAGGAAAAACGTCCTTTGGTACAACAAGTAGTACACATAGAAAGAAACCTTGAGAGGAACCAAGACTCAACAGGGGGGCCCATCCTCCTCTGGCCGGCACATTTAAAAATGTAAAATAAAATTATGAAATGCCAATATGCAAGTATAAGGCAATGATGACTCAAACATGAGAGGGAGAACTATCTCGCTCCTATGTGAGTCAAATATACACACAAAATAATCCAAAATAAGAAAATGCACATGAGAGACGATGGTTCGTGGATCCCTCAGCGCTGCTGGGGTTCCTCGTCTCTATGGCTCCGCCATGGTCTGTCGTCCCCTTGGCTCCAACATGGACTTCTAGGCCTTTGGCTGCGTCTGGTCCCTCCAACACTTTGGCTCCACTGGTGTCCTCCAAAACATGAGGAGATGACGCGAACATGCACTGATAACTCAAACATTAAAGGGAGAACAATATCGTGCCGATGTGAGCAATAGATGACACAAGAAAAATAGGAATATGCACATGAACGAGACAATGAAGACAAGAAATGCAAGGAGATGTAGCGAACACGCAAGCATGAAGCACAGATGACTTAAATATAAATGATGGCTTGTCGATCCCTCTGGCTCTGCTGGCGTTATTCGTCTCTACGGCTCCGCCTTGGTCTGTCGTCCCCTTGGCTCCAACATGGACTTCTGAGCCTTTGGCTGCGTCTGGACCCTCCAACACTTTGGCTCCACTGGGGTCATCCATAGTATGAAGAGATCACATGAACGCACATTTATAAAACACTAACTCACACGGAGAACAATCTTTTTGCCAAAAAATGCTTGATTATGCTTGATTATCTTTTCAACGAAGCCAAATGTTCACATTTGTGTCACAGATATGATATAACATGCAGCAAAACATGTAATCACACATCAGCACCTTTACAGTGCCTTCATACCCCCATGAGCAAGCCAAAGGCGACAGTGGCAAGGAAAAACATCCTTTGGTACAACAAGTAGAACACATAGAAAGAAACCTTGTCAACAAGGTCAAAAGAAACAGGTGTCAATACCAGGACTTACCTGTACTCCCAAAAGTAGTTACCCAGGCAGGACTGTCCCTATGGGTCGTTTCACTATCGCTTCATACAACCAATGTGATAGTTCTGTGCACAGGTGATCCTTGGAAATGACTGAATCATACTTTTCAGTGTATGAATGGTTCTCCAACAATGACTCTGAAAATCCTACAGATGGTCGTTCGGTCAGGGATACTTGTGCTGAGAACAGCCACACATTGAACATATTACATCAGCCAAGTAAAGTCTGTGAAATGTATTCTAAAAAATACATTAAACGACGTTTTTAAAGGTAGCTTCTTACACTAACACTTTTGATTTTTCTTAAAAAGACTTATAAATTATTTTTGTGGCTTATATCCAGAGGTTTGTCAAAAGTAAAAAGGTTCTGAACAATTTTTCTTTTGGTCAGACCTCTGATATCGCCTACATTAATGCAGGAAAACAAATACAACCTGAGAAGTTTAGCTTAGCCACTATCACCCGACAACTGTGATACTCAACAAGATTAACATGTTAATTGTTTTTTTTACCCATTTGCTTGTAGCAGCAGCGTGACCACTCCAAATAAAAACAGTAATATTTCCAATATGCAAACGAACCATAAACGAGATATAACATTTTTAGATGAACTATTTTCATACTTTTACACTGACAGGTGAACCGTACGGCAGCGGTCAACAAATACTCATAGCGCATGCACTATGACGTCACAAAGCGGGAGCCGCATTTAGAATGCATAATCCGAACCCGATTTGCATAAATAATAATAATAATAAAAAACAGTGCACATTTAAAAAATAAACCCATCTTCCTTGTTTGTAAGTTAAATTTATGTTACAATAACTTCGTAACTTTTTATCATGTAGCTGACAATGTTAATATAATTATGCAAATACCAGAGCATTCATTCCAAAGAGACAAACCTTACTAATAAAATTAAGTGAATATAACTTATTTTGAATAAAGGACATATACTATGTTAATACCAAGGTATTTTGGAAGTATACTATGGCAATACCATGTTTTTACAATCATAGTGGTACATGGTATCATTTGGAGTATGGGTTAAATTAACCCTCTCTAGTATTGTTCATTTGCGTTTACACTTGTGTTGAAATTTAAC